CCTTACTAAAAAGACACGGCACGCCTACCTCATTCATCATTACCTGGTCCTCCTCGGTCACCAGGCATTGAAGGTAACTGGCTATGCCCACGGGAGAGGATTGAACTTAAGCATCCTCAAGGACAGTAAGAATAACTTCTCTCTTGCGATTGGGGTCCACACTCGGAGCAGGAAAATGATTAACCAATTTTAAACTCGAACTCAGCCCACCAGCTTCCAAAGATACATCCTTCTGGGGACTTCTAGGTCCAGCCTAGAAAAATCTTTCAAAGTAGACGAATCCACGCCATCGAAGAAGGAATTATTGGGTTGTCCAAACCGTGGATTCCTTCACTTGACTTCTCTTTTCCTTCTTGGGCCTCCTCAAGAATGGAATGTAAGAGGGCGTCTTTACGATTTCTATTACACCAGTCGCTTCGTTCAGAGCATAACTGGATTCTCAGAGGGTCTCAACCCCCGTCTCCATCTCAGCATCTTGAGTCGGAGGGAGGTCGATCTCACGGCCCTCCCCCTTGGTTGCGGCCTGCTCCTCGGCAAGGGTCAATAAGTGGGAAACAAAAATATTATCTTATTTATACTCATCCCTTAGCCAGAGAAGCGTGTCAAAATCGGCACCCAAGAGCTAGTGCTCTTCTTGGGCTTATGAGCCACCCACTTCTTTGGCTTCATCTTAGAACCTTGGGAGCTCGAAGACTTTATTTTTCGCTTCTTCGTTTCCCCCGCAGCAGCCTCGGGCTGCCCCATAATGGAGGAGTCAATGAGTAGAGATGCGTCATCGTCCCCCTTCAGCAGCCTAAGTTTGGTGGTCATCGGCAAACCTGCGAAGGAAAGAGAAAAGGTCAGAATTATGAAAGTTCAGAGAATAATAGTAGCCATTTTAGGAAAGGCCTTACTATGATAATAGGTTTCCCATCGGCCCTTCAAAAGCTTGTTCCACGAGCGCTCAAAATACGAAATCTGCTTGTAGATGCCCTTGATCCACTCCTTGAGCCGAGGGAACACATTAGGAACCCGGGAAATAGTTACATGATCATGAATACGAATGATGAGAAAGGAAATGAAAAAAAATTGATACTTAAGGAAAGGATGCACTTACGAGATGCATTCCATTTCTCAGGGGATGGAAGAAACTCGGGAGAGATTAGATCTTCAGTCTTCACCCAAATGAAGCACCACTATTAGCCTTGGTCTCGATCCTCGTCAATACTTAAAAAAGAGGCCTTGCTGGCCCGCCAAGTGAGCTTGATAGTTCCTTTCGGAAAATTCGAGGACTGTATATACAGAGCAAGTGGTCGAGGGTGAACCGAGAAGACTCGGTGTGCCTTACAAAATAATGGAGGAGGATTATGATACTCCAAAAAGATGGGTGGATTTTCCCAAGACAGTTCGTACCTTTTACTTTGTCCAAAATCACTGGGTCTACCGGGCCTAGAATAAAGGGGTAAGTGTAAACACTCAAGTACACCTACACGTGGGTAGTAATATCATCCTTAGGTCCGGGGACTACTATGTCCTTACCATCCCCATCTACAACCTTCTCGTACCACGGGAAGGACATGTTCAGTACAAGAGCATATATACCTCGATGATCCTTTACCCCGGGCTTGTTTGGATTAGGGCTTCTCGACTTTGAAGTCATTTGTGATCGAGCAACCACTGGGTATAAAACTTTTCATGGGAGGCTGGGGGAAGCCACCTTGGGAGTGGCCGCTTCGAGAACAGCCACCTCGGAAGCAGCCACCTTGGCATTTGTGGCCAGGTGGGAAGATCAAGAGGTAGCCTATTGAGGAACTGATTTGGAAGTTTTAGCCATTGTTGTTTGAAAAAGTTTGAAAATTTTAAGAAAAAGTATGAAGGGTTGAAGGATTAAGTTTGAAGGCAGAAGAGCGAGGTATGAAGATTTGAAGAAAACCTGGGTAAGAACCTAAAAACAATTATGAAGATTTGAAGATCAAATATGAAGATATGAAAGTTTGAAAGAATTTGGTGATAGCTAGGAAATTCGAAGGTGGAAGCTTGATCGGAAAGTGGAAAAAGAGAAAAGGGTAGAAGCTTTTATAGGGGAAGTACGTATCGCTTCACATTCGGAGGCAACCAAGCCAATGGTTGACATGTGCGCTAAGTCAGAACGACACGACTGATGGGACGTTTTGGCTTCTTCATCATTTCGGTTGTAACGTACGAAGGAAGGAACTAGGGAACATCTATCATTTCTCATCGTTTAGGCAAACTTACTCTTTGAGAAACGAGGGGACTATCTGTATATGGGTAAAATTTGGGCTAATGAGCACCCCGATTTTTTGGAGGGGCAAACGAAGTAAGGACATAACTACATGGAATCAGAGCTAGGAACCTCTCGTACTAGGGCCCGAGCGAAGCGCTTACCACCGGAGCCAATGAGAAAACCCCCTGAATCCAATTCGAGCTCCAAGACCTTGGAAATCATTACCAAAAATTGCACACGACTAACGAATGACTGTGATATCCGCGCTTAAGCGGATATCACGGTGTGGATTTTGGCCCGTATCGCTAGCAAATCAATGATTGACAAAAAAGAAGATTTTTTTACCTTTCAAAGAGTTATACTAGGGATGAAACACTCCAACTATATAAAGGGAGAAACACACTGTAATACACGTACCAAGGCAATATAGACTTGTTTTCTCTGCTTCTAAGATATTCAAAGGTTCTTATTTCTGTTCATAGCTCTTCATATATATATATATATATATATATGGCCCCGAATTGAGGGCAGAACTATTGTTAAGCTCAGACCCGAGCTCGGACCTAACATCACAATTGGTTTGGTTATTTATTTTACTTTTAATTTGCTTATATAAAGTTACTGATCGCTTGCATTGAATCGATCTACCTATCCTTAAAATTGCGTATAAATTTAATTGTTATCCATTTTTAAGAGTAAACATACATCTGTTAATTAACTATAGCTTGATGATCATAATAGTGTATCTGAAAATATATGTCATATATTTATTGAGTTGGTATAAATACCCAATGCGAATAAATTTTTGCAATACATAACTAACCTCGGAATGGATTGTTTAATAGATAGTTTATGATGAACAAATTGGGAGAAATTTATTATGTGACCTAGTGGTGGCAAAATGTCACGACCCTAAACCCGGACTCGGTCGTGATGACGCTTCTCGTAAAGACAAGGCCAGCCGACACACTCCCAATTCCTTTTTAAGAAATTAAATAATAAAAACTAAGTCTTTAACATAATAATAATAATAATAATAATAATAATAATAATAATAATAATCCCAAAATAAGGTGAATAATACAGTTTGTGGAATAGACATAGCCCGACATCGGGGTGTCACCAGTCATGAGCATCTATCATAAAAAATACAAGTCCGAAAGAGTCTACACAACTATTACATAACTAAAATAGGAAAAATAAGATAGAGGGAGAAGCACTGGGCTGTGAATGCCAAACATCTATCTAGTGAATCTCCGAAGTTTGTTGGAAGCTCTCAACCCTCACAAGCAGGACCTGAAGCGCCTGAATCTGCACACGGGGTGCAGGAAGTAAAGTGAGTACTCCAACTCAGTGAGTAATAATAATAAATGAAGACTGAGCGATAAGAAAACACGTAAAGGCACATCAACAGGCTATAAAGAAGTAGTAAAATCCAGTAAAAACAGTGAAACCATGTAAAGTCACCTTAGTTCAGTTTAAACTTCTTTAAAATACCCTTTTAACAGTTAAGCAAGTAAATGACAGGCAACTAGAAAAGATAAACACATAAAGAACCACCCCTCAGGCACAATACCAACAGAATCATCCCTTCGGGCAACACATGGAACATTACCAGCCCCTCGGGCTATATCTCATATCACAATGGGTACCCGTACTCACTGGGGGTGTACAGACTCCAGGAGGGACCCCTTACGGCCCAAGCACAATATCAAGTCATCTCGTGGCATAATCAGTAGGCTCTCAGCCTCATATCAACAAGCCACCTCATGGCATACAATCTCAGGCCCTCGGCCTTATAATCATGAATCAGCTCAGCAACCTCACAACACAGGCCCTCGGCCTTACTAAGTCAGAATCTTATAAGCCACTCGGGCAACAGTAAAACATGATGCTCTGCTCAAATTATCATTTAAAAATATCATTTAATGTGTTAAAATATAGTAAACATGGCAGAGTTATGAAAATAGTGGAATATAGCATGACTGAGTACAAGTATAAAGTCAAAACAGTGAGAAAATATCAGTAAAAATCCCCTAAGGGTCCAAATAGTTAGCACGAGGCCCAAATATGGCATTCAACCCAAAACATGATGATAACAAATAATTTTCAATCAAATACGTGGTAAAACAGTCATACGGGATGGACTAAGTCACAATCCACAATGGTGCGCGATCCCACGCTCGTCATCCAGCATGTGAGTCATCTCAATATAGCACAACGATGTACAATCCGGGGTTTCAAACCCTCAGGACAACATTTACAATCATTACTCACCTCTACCGGTCCAAATCTCTTGCTCGCGATGCCTTTGCCCCTCAAATCGGCCTCCGGATGTCCAAATCTAGCCAAAATCAGTGCAAAACCATCAAAATATGCTAAGGTAACAAAGCCACTCGAAAGAAATCAAATTACAATACAAATCCCGAAATTGGCCAAACCCGACCCTCGGGCCCACGTCTCGGATTCCGATAAAAATTACATCAATAGACTTCTTATCACTCCCTGAGTTCATTCAAATCAAAAGCATCAAAATCCAACGACAAACGACCCCTCAAATCCCAAATTCTAGGTCTCCAATTACAACCCTAGTTCTTCAATATTAGGCTTAAATTCCATGATTAATTAGGTAGAATCCACATTAGAATCGAGTATTAAGTCCATAATCTTACCTCCAAGTGTTTCCCCTTGAATCCCTCTTCAATCCTCTTCAAAAAGCTCCAAAATCGCTCAAAAATGGTGGAAGTTAGCCCTAAAATCGCGGACAAATGGCTATTTAAACATTCTGCTCAGGTATCCAATCCTTCTTTGCCAACGCGGTCAAAGCCTTGCGTTCGCGAAGCACAAACTCAAGTTGACCAAAATTTCCTTCATCGCAATCACGACTCCCAGCTCGTGAACACGAAGACCTTGATCCCTTACTCACCGCGAACGCGATTCCCTTTCCACAAACGTGAAGAACAAATCAACCTGAACCCAGCTGCTCAACTTCCTCTACGAGAGCACGGCATAATCTCGCGAACGCGATGCACAACGACCCCAGCCCTTCGCATACGTGGAACCTTCCTCGCGAACGTGAAGGCTAAATCTCAAGCCTCACCTGCTAACCCTTCGCGAACACGAGGCCCCAGTCGCGAACGCGAAGGCCAAATGTCTGCAACACTTCAACATATATTTTGCAATTCTCAGCATTTTGAAATGATCCGACTGACAACCCGAAACTCACTCGAAGCCCCCGGAACCTCAACCATACATGCCAACATATCCCATAACATCATTCAAACTTGTTCCAATCTTCGGAACGCTCAAAACAACATCAAAACACCAAATTCGCATCGGATTCAAGCCTAAGAATTCCAAAATCTTCTAAATTACGCTTTTGATCAAAAGGTCTACCAAACCACGTCTGAATAACCTGAAATTTTTCACACACATCCCACATGATACAACGAAACTACTGCAACTCCCGGAATTTCAGTCTGACCCCTATATCAAAATTTCACCTATCAACCGGAAAATGCCAAAATTTTAATTTCACCAATTCAAGCCTAAATCTATTCTGGACCTCCAAAACACATTCCAATCACACTCCTAAGTCCCAAATCACCTCCCACAACTATCTGAAACATCAGAACTCACATCCGAGCCCTTTAACACATAAGTCAACATCCGGTAGACTTTTCCAACTTAAGCTTCCTCAAAAGAGACTAAGTGTCTCAAACCTTCTCAAAACCTTTCTGAACCCGAGCCAACCAACCCGATCACATATAGAACCGATGAACAAAGCAATAAGAAGCAGAAATGGGGGGAAACGGAGCGGTAACTCATGAAATGACCGACTGGGTCGTTACATAAAATCGTTAAAATAAGCAGTTGCCCACTCATATTATTCATTAAAAATTAAGTTGGATTATAAAATTTTTAAAAAACGGGTCAAATATGGATACGAACCATATTGTCTACTTAAAAAATGGATAACTAATGAGTTTAACTTTTACATTTGTAAAACCTCAAATTGGGAGTTTCTAAGTTTGAGAGACTAGGAATTCTTCCAAAGTGATCATATTCAAAAAGTCATGGATAATATGGATGTTCATATTATCCACCGGTTAGCCCATTTTTTATCCGTATTAAATATGACCGGGTTGCATGATTTATCCGTTTTGTATTACCCATATTGACCTGTCCATATTCGATCCAACCCACCCATTTGCCACCCTTAATGTGACGTAGTATTATTCATTGTTTCTTTTTCCTGTTTTTTTTTTTTTTTTTTTTT